TAGATACCGCGGATCAGACACCACACAGTTTTATCTTGCTGTCTAGAAATCCTTGCGACCTGAGCTCGTTTCTTTCACTGGGTGAGCCAAACCGGAATGGATTTACTTTTCATTCACAATCTACTTCTTTAGGGTTTTCCTTTCATGCACAGATCTCCACACAGCTCCAATCCCTGCTCTCTGTTAATAATTTTAAAAGACAAAATCAATCTATTTACTTTCTCACTAGATTTAGAAAATTAACTAATGCATCAAGTTCTTCTCTATGAGGTTATACACTTGAAAGAAGATGAGGTTGGTATCTATAAATCAATCATCACAAGTAATAACGAATTCTTTTCCTCCCCCGAAAAACCTTCATTTCTCTTATTAATCAAGTCCTCTAAAAAGCATGAAATATTATTTGGACCTATAATTAAAATATTACTATTGGAAAGCCAGAACAAAAGAAGATGGAAAATTTGATAATATACTTCCTGAGAACTCAATCAAGACAATATGCATTATCTTTAAAAAAAAAAACTCCCTTAATGGGGACTTGCAGGGGAAAGCAAATAACTACTGATAAGAACATACAGGAAGAGTAGCAGTTATCCCCCCCCCTTGGGGAAGAAATGGACAAGCAGGGAGGCAGGGGAAGACAGCAATTTATTTTTTACTTTTGCCGGTTTCAATCTCAATTTAGTATTTTATATACTAAAAATTCACTACTTAATGAAAAATTTTATATTCTATTAGTTGCCATGTGGCAAATGAGGAGAGTAGATCTAACATTTTCAACATTTTTCTTATGATGCCTGCAAGCAGAAATTTGCACCGAATGGAAAAGAGGCTAAATCCACCCCACAGTCAAAGCAGGTAACATAGGTACTATATATTCCACATTAGCTTTTACGTGAATTCCCCTTCGATTTCTAATCTCACATCTATCTGCCTGCAGTTCCCACATATTTTAATTACAAATCACCATCTGCCCACACAGTTAAATTTTGGGGTGAGGATTATCAGAATTACTACATTTCTTCTCTTTCCTATTATATAAAGCAGCAAGTAACCCACCTCCCGATCCCGAATCCATCAAAGTCATGCATACCCCTGATAGATTCACATAAAAACATCATTATTTGTGGTGGCCACAGGAATTAAAACTCAAATTCTCAAACTCAGCTATACATTCTGAAGTACTTAAAAGATGACATTAGCAGCCTAACAATAAAAAAGAACCGATTAAGGTACGACTAGAAAGCAAGCAAGCGAGCATTAAGCAAACAACACATCTTAAAGACACTATTAATGAAAATATTTTTATGCACTGCATAGAGGACTAATTTTGTATTACTCAATATATGTGTATTCTCAAGTTTTTTTCCAATGGAAAGATAAGTAGATGTTTTCAGAATCTGCTATCAGTGAACCAGAAAATTAGATGGTATTTGGAATCCATTCTGTGCATTATTTGTATGGACGATTGAAGCCTTTGAATGTTAAAATGCTTAATAGGCAAAGATTTTATTTTTGTTATATATAATCTGATGTTTGGTTTTTACTCACATTTTTATGTAGAAACTTGTTTATTTATAATGAAGTATATATAAGATACAAAGATGGGCCAGAGTGAATATTGCATTTGTCTGTATTTTTACACTACATTTTGATATGAAATTGTGATTGCAGCACCAACACAAGGCATTGTCTTGAAGTAAACTTCACTTTAAACTAAATTTGTGTCACTGCGTGGGGTGAAGGACTGAGAAAGTTAGGTTTTCAGGCAGCACGGGAACTGGTAAAGCAGTGAAATAAAGGGGATCGTGGTTTAAAATGTTTATTTGCATAGCTTGTACTCACTATGAAAACACTTCCCTTGGTTATTTTACCCAGATGCAGTGGAGAAAAACTTCAAGAGAAATTTCTGGAAGCACAGTCGATATAATAGAAATCAATATATTTCTATTTAAAACTCCCAGCCCCTACCTATTTGGAATGAACTTCATTCAACTTTACTTATCTTACTTCACTTAATCAGAAGTTTCTGTTTTTCTTCCAAGTCTTCCATGGTTCATCACAAATTTAAGATCCATAACATTGATGGGTATTTGTCAGATAGTTCTGTTCCTAAGGCAGTCACAAAAGAGATCCACCAAATCTGTTGTTCAGAAGTCCTCTAAGCTTAGACTGTTTTTTAAATGATCCTTAACGGATCCTTGCAGCTGGAAAACTTTCCAACTACAATGCTAAAACAACTCAAATTAGGAGTCTTGCACTAACTCCCTCTCTCCTTTTCCACTGCACCCATTATTAAATTCAAGAATTTAATAATTTTATTAGTAATCCAAGAAGAAGCACTGAAAAAGCACTTTCTTTACCTTCACCCTCTCATCCTACCTTGCTTTTTACTATCAGATCAGGCTGCATCTTCTCTATGGAATTCAGCACCTGCAGGACATCACCGAATTCCTGATGTTCAAGTTATCTTACATTGCTCTCACCATCTTTACTGGACTCTTACTCCAACTTTCCACTTCCCATAAACAGATTGACTCCGTGACCCTGAAAATGTACACCTTGGGCCCAGAGCTATCACTGAGCTCAAAACCTCCTTCTCTGCAAGCTCTCTTCCTCTCTCCAACATCTTCCCAATAGTTTGTTTGCCAACTAAAACTCTATCTTCTTTTAGGTCAATGCCAAGTTTTAGATCTTGTACAAACCTCACTCATGATCGGCCAAACAACATTCTTTTGGAGCAATCCCCCACCCCTTTAGCTCTTACAGCCAACCTTCTCTGACTGCTTTTTAAATACCATGCTCCTTCTTCTTCTTCTTCATAGACGCTAAGCACCTGTATGGAAAGCATGCCTTATCTTTTCAGTCTAATTTTTAAAAGTTCTTGTACAGAGCCTTTGGTAGGAGTGCAATCAATATTGATTACATGAATGAATAATGAGAAAGCAGACTATTCAAACTTTTACACCAGAGTCTGGTTGCAATTTGAGAATTATTTAGGCCAGTGTCTAAATTATCTTGGTTATGCCTCTTCAAATAAGGAGTAGGGATTCATATGTGCAAGTTCCATACTAGCATATTTTACTAGAGGAAAACACAAAAACAAAAGACTGTCTTTGCTTTAGTGTTTTTTCCCCAAGAAGAAGGATCATCAAGACACCAGGTTTTTCACTAACATTAAGGCTCTTTTAAAGGAAAATGGTACTGTGGAGCAGTAATGATGATGCAGCCATCTGCGGAAGCCTGTTACACCCACTCTATCATGAGGAATCTTAATTCATATCAGGTGAGTCACTGACATGAGGATTAAAGTTAAAACAATTCGGGAAATTGAAAATGCAAGCTATCCATATGTTTACCACTGTGTGCGCAGATTTTAAACTCATATTAAGAATTCACTTTTTCAAATTCAACGGAACACGTAATTTAAATGGGAGAAAACAGGCCCAAAATGCATATTATAAGGTCACCACAGTTATATCGGATTTTCAATTCTACCCTTTCTGCTTTTCATTTAGTCTCTCAACAACATTAATTAAATACGTGGCACAGGGAACTTAAAAGGCACAGTCCTCTATATTGTATTTACATTAGTCCTTTTTCACACAAAATTTAGTAATTTCAGAAGTGAAGTCATTATCTTTCAATAAAATCAGCTTCTATGCTTGACGCTGACTGGTATAAACAGCCATAGAATCACCAAAGCCTCTCACTTAAACCCCTGCACTGTTTTTCCAAGTCAGCGTGTGAAGTCCAACGTTCCTCCCAGACTCTTCCTCCTCTGTAAACCGCAGACACTGTGACAGCAATAATTTCTCTAGAAAATCTTAAATGCTTTTCGTGGAAGTTTGAGCTTTATCATCCCAGAAACCCATCCGTCATCCTCTGTATTTTCTAAGTGGTTTCCTTGTTCTGCTTTACTTTGCCTAATTCTCTGTAAGGTTACACGTTTCTAGAGCGCAAGCAGCTTAATTTACCTTAGCTCGAAGTGATCGGCAAACTCTGTTGAAATTTCTGACTACAGATTTTACTTTTTGCCAAATCTCACATATTTTCTAAATCTTAATGTAGGGCAAAATGATCAACATGGCTTCCATTCCATCTCAAAGACCAGTAATGAGATGCAGGGAAGGAAAGAGACCGGGGTCTCTCACAGTTTTTCATTATTCCTATGGATTTCTTTTTCACTTCCTTCTTTCTCTATGGTTCCATTGTTTTCTTTTACTACTTCTACTTTCTCACCCTGCTACGTGAGGCCCACAGGCACGTTCTTTACTCATCTTTTGTCAGTAGCCCTTCACAATTCACATATTTCTAGCCTCTAGGATGTTCTCTGAAGAATAATTGCTTTGCTAACATATTGCTAATCTTTAACCTCCGCATTTGTGAAGACAAGCAAAATTTTAAAAATTCAAAGTGGATTTCAGTGCTCACTTTTACTACTCTCAGATGAAATGTCAGTCAACATACGTGACATTAAAGGGAATAAACAGATCATTTAAGGGAATATGAAAGTAGCTGTGTCTATATGCACATATATATATGTCTATCAAATATATGCATTAAAATAATATAAATATACACCAGTACCTCACATAAGTCCTTTCTTTCTATCTCTGTTCTAGTTCCTGCCATTTGTGTTTGTATACTACCAAAAGATGAATTAAAATTTAGCAAGGCTGGGGATGTAGCTCAGTGGTGCCTCCGCCTGCCTCACAAGCGCAAGAACCCAAATTTGATCCCCAGTACAAAAAAAATCACAACCCCCAGCAAAAAAGCAGAGGGGAATCTAAGCTGAAATTATGATATCTATACTTTTGTGTACTGAAAAGGTTTTCCAATAGTTAAACTCTTTCTTGTGCTTTCTCTGTACTCATGACTTTGTGCTATGAGACAATGATTTTCACAATTTATTCCTCTTGAAATAGGGGGTAAATTACAAATAATAACTGCAGTGAAACTGAAGATTATTTAAGGTGAATGGGTAGAAAACCACTTACCCCCAGTAGCCACAGTGATTTCACGGAGGAAATGGCCATAAAATGGAAAATCGAAGGACAGATTCACTCTCTGCAAAGAACACCAGAGAAGAACATCAATACTGTGCAAAATAATAAATATAAAATGAAGAGTCTTACACTTAAAAAAAGATGCTTCTGCCTTGCCCCATTATTATTGTAGTTAACATATATTAAAAGGAATCCTTGATAGTACTCAAGAATATTTTTCCTGATAATGAAATGTTTGAAGCTTACAGAAAGAACAAGTTTGGGCTTTTATGGTCTACTGAACTGTTCCTAACTTACAAAGACAACCTGAGAAGTTTGCTGTTTATTTGCTTGTTTTGATATCAAGGATTGAACCCGGTGCTCACTGAACTATATGCCCAGCCATTTTTATTTTACTTTTGAGACAGGGGCTCTTAGCTTGCCCAGGCTGCCTTTAAACTTGTGATCTTTCTCTCTCAGGCTCCCAAGTGGCTGGGATCATAATAAGTGACGCAATGACCAGCATAAAAGCAAGCTATGCTGTCTGTCATCACTGCTACATTTCAGTTGTCCTATCATCCTGATGAGTCATGTATGGTGGCCCACTTTGTAGTTTAATCACTTCCTCCAAAACGGTAGAGCAAGTATATGCCAATTTTTATTGAATTAAAATCAATAGGTTTTATTTTACATTATTACATAGTCAATTTTTTTCTTATACACTTCATAATGAAAGACATTACCATGAAAAAATATATTTGTACCTACATATCTAGAACTGAAGACATTTTTTCATGCAATGAGCGTTTCGGTTTAAGCACAGTGCATCAATTTTTAAAAGCACAGAGCTATAAGTAATAAAGTCTACTAGAGAGCTTTTTTGTTTTGTTTTGTTTTTTTGAGACAGGATCTCACTATGCAGTTGAGACTGACCTGGAACTCACTGTGTAGCCCAGGCTGGTCTCGAACTCCCAGTGATCCTCCCACCTCAGCCTCCCAAATGCTGAGATTACAGCTGTGTGCCACCACACCCGACTCTAGAGAGCTACTTTTACTTGGTACTACAGGGCAGATATAGAAAGTTCACAAAGTGTTCCCTTTTTGCAAAGAAGTCTCAGATTTGGGCTTTTAATATGTAAAAAAGAACACACGCATCCACACAGATGTCTTCATATTTTCAAAAAATACATAAAAAATAATTTAAAACACAAGATAAACCACAAATCCTAGCTATTCCATATGCTTGAAATAGGAAATTGATAAATTAATGCTAGATGAGAAACAAGAAAAAGATTTTTATAACAAATATGATCAAATGAAATAAAAGAAGCCAAAAGAAAAGTAATTAACTGGTTAAGAGCCCAGTTCCACTTAAAAGCTACCTACAGTAAAAGGCTATTATGTTAAAATTCTGCAATTTCTATATTGTCTCTCTCCCAGTATACAAATGTAATGGAAAATACAGAAGTATATTCATTGGAAATTAGCTTTCTGCAATTTTGCAAATGATTGCTTTTTTGTACCCAGCAGAAATTCCTAATGACTTCTTTGGTGTGAAATTAATCATTCAAAATTTACAGTAGCTTTTAATCATTTGTTCTTTTTATAATGAAAACCAGATCTTCATAAAAGGTTTCTCATCATTTTTATTTTGTGCTGATTAAGGGGAACAATGAAAGCATTTTCACCGCCCTATTTAAAATGAGTGGTCACTAATATCACTAAGATGAAAGCTGCAAAGGTAAAACACATTCGTCTCAAGAAAGAACTCAAAGAAAGATATCAAAAGAACACAGGCACTTGCTGTAGTGAGTTTTCTATCATGCTGATTGCCTTCAAACTTATCCATAAACTGGTAAAGTTTACACCATCAACATTCCCACTTCCAGAAACAGTTTGTTTCAAATATGTATCACTAAGAAACTCTTATCAATTACCATCAAAGATGAAGCATAAGGATACCATTTGAGTTCTCTCAGCCACTGGGACATTTAAATAGGTTTGGAGTTAGATGAAAACACATAAATACACACGGAACTAGAAGACTTTTGATGAGAAACAAACAGGTTCTCAAAGAAAAAGTACCAATCCATCATTCTGAAGAGCAACATCAGGATGGAAATGCTCCCCCGTTTGAAGGACTTGTTTACCATGACCTGCCACACCCTGATACAAAACAGTGGTAGTAATTCAGGAAGATGCTATCTTCTAAATAGCTGTGATATTCACACATTTTTGTCAGTCACTATTGACACTCTTCCCCAAATGTAGGACTGTAGTTTTGCAATAACTTGCTCATAAGGTCTCGCCTCTACTTCCTCTGGAATCATACTATCCAGTACATCACTTCTTCATTTCAGTCTTTCAGTTTAGACTCCGAACGTCCCTAGAAATAAAACCAACATAACCAAAATGGAAAGGAATTCTCGGGCCAAACATTAATTAATTAATCTCTGCTACTTCAAAACTTTCTGTTTATGCTCGCTGTTCTAACCAGCCACAAAGAGTATCTTTTAGTCTGAGGAAGCTGCCACTCTTAATGTTGGCTCTTGTGATTATAGGTGACAGCTCTTTGAAGGGACTGCATCAGTAGTATCTTAATCTCGGTCAGTCATGGTTTCCGTATTTTTCAAGCCTTGGCTTAGTATAAGTTATCCCCCCAAACAACCCACATATAAGTTCTTAGGGTAAGGCAATTATGACGAGGTTAATCCTGAAGGCATTTGCTAAACGATATGGGAAATATGAAAGAATGAAGAAAAATCAGTAACGGGTACTATATCAAACATGTTATCTTTATAGCTAATTGGATCCCAATCCCCATGGAAGCCCTCTGAGAAAGAGAAGAAGAAACATGTTTCAGCTTCATTTCACAGGAGGCAGGAAGCTGGGACTTTCACCCCCTCACGTCCATCCACTGTTGGTTCAGGGTTGATCAACAGCCTTCCTGCCTTGGCTATCTTTGTGCAGGCTGAGGAGAAAGGAAAGGCAGCACTTGAAGCAAGAAGTTGCTGGCAAGTTGGAATTAGTCTCCCGCAGCCTCAGGAGGGAGGAAGCACCCGTGCTGGCTGGGTTGCTAACTGTGACACCCTCAGAGGGCTCCCCTGACTTCTTAGGTCATGTTGTTATGTTGTTCTACTAACTACTTCCAAGTGAGAATTACTCAGAACCAGTGATTAAGGACAACCCAAGTGGAAAACTAGAATTTGAACTTAGGTTTGAGTGACGATGAAGTCTGTCCTCGCAGTTACTGAGAGATTAAAACACTGAGAATAGGGGCCGGGGATTTAGCTCAGTGGTTCCACTGCCTGCTTCGCAAGCAGAAAGACCAGAGTTCGATCCCCGAGACCAAAAAAAACCCCCAAAACAAACAAACAAAAAAACCACATTGAGAAATCACGTTTAAAGGCAAATCTTTGAAAGTTATTATATTCCTGCCTCATACATACCTACACACATATACCTACTAAAACACAAAGAAAAAATAACCTCTACAGTTTTGTAAAGCACTTGGAGACTTTAATATAGAAATGGTTATATATTCAATATAATTTCCCTTGAATAACTGGATTTTTATTTTGTCTCTGGTTGGGATTCAAAACAGAAGAGGCTGAAGGACAGCTGCAGCCAATCAACAATTACGGATACATCAGTGTGTATACATGAGGTACTAAATCAGCTACTGAGCAGGACAGGGCTCAGGGACAGTCACTGCAGGGGCGGGGAAAGAAAGAGGCACAGGGCATAAACCATACAACCACCCAGGACAGAGGAGGCACCTAGAGAAGGTCCTTCACCCACACCAGGGAGCGCTGTGATGGACTGTAGAGAAAAACACGGAAAATTTGCCAGAGAAGATCTTAAGGTGGGGGGGGGGGGTCGAAGCCAAGAGTTAAAAAATACAAAGTAAAACTGAGTCGTTGAGGAGAATTTAGAATAAAGCACAGATTTCCAGATGGGCGAATGGTGAGCTCCGGGGGCCCCCAACTGAGACAATGAACGTAGGGAAAAGAGCCATTGTGCTTTGGTGAGAGAAAACTTGCTGTGTCGCTAACAAGTTATGTATGCTTACCTATATAGTAAAAATAATTTTAAAATGACCCCCAATGTCTAGGAAATGAAGAACTCAATGTTCAGGTTAAAAGGACCCTGGACATTGTCACAAAAAGTGATTGCAAACAAACAAAAAAAGATACCAAGAAGATGGTATAATTACTCTATCACAGCACAATTTGCTATGTTGAATCTCACGCCTTAAAATATTTAAAGAAAACAGTGCTCAGTAATATGGTCATGTGGAGACCCAACAAATTAAGAGGTTGAACCAAATACAAAATAAAAAGGTCAAAAGTGCAGCAAGCACGACACCCTTAATCCGATCTCCAGCACCAAAAAAGAAATAAGAATTTAACATCCAGCGCTCTGAAGTGAAGTTTCGAAACCATGAGAGACATAATCAAAGCAAGTGAATTTGCTGACTGCTCTCCTAGACTCCATGACAGAACTGACTATTGGAAAGGAGGAGGAATCATAATTTTGAGACAAGCTCAAGAAGCATGACATAGTCATACGGTGAAGATAAATTTAGTAAATGTACTTTGTAGAGCTGATAGAAGTATAGAGAGCCCAGGTGGTTTGGGACACATTTATGGGAGTCATAGCCATATGTCACTACAGCCTTTAAAACAATGGATGCTTTTGGAAAACATGCCCTGTGAGGTTTCTGCTGGCAAAAAGCTACCAGCCACGTTCAGAGACAGACACCTCAATTTCTATGTGTGGGCACATCTTAGCTCCCTCCTTTTATAAATTTTAATTATGCCTATCGCTATTCAGACTAATTATGAACGCTGCTAATTCTGTTTTAATAACAAGAAATTACACTCTTAAACATCCCTCTCTTTAACTTTTTTTGTGGGGGTACCAGGGATTGAACTCAGGACCTTGCGCTTTCGAGGCAGACAGCAGAACCACTGAGCTAAATCCCCAGCCCCTAAGTTGTTTATTTCTCAGCAGTGTTGCAAAGATAAATTAATCAGTCAGTGCCTGTGAATCCTGGAAGACTGAAATCTCTTAAGAGTA